CTTATGGATTTGGATATCTACTCCACTTTAGATTCCAGCACACTTGCCTCACTTTTGAGTGAGTCAATTGTTGCAAGATGCTTTTTCTTCTCAGCCTCTAATTCTAGAATGAGCTTCTTCTGTTGCTCTCCTTGCTGATACAATTCAGTACTTCGGATGCACAGCCTCTTGTATGAATCTGCAAGTTCATCATAAGTTAGATCTTCTTCACTTGAATCACCATCTGAAACATTATTCAGAACAGTGACATGCTTAGCATATTCTTCTTCTGATCCACTGTCAGAATCTCCATCTGACCAGGTAACAGTTAGGCCTTTTCCCTTCTTTCTGAGGTAAGTGGGGCATTCCTTTCTACTGTGTCCATATCCCTCACACTCATGGCAATGTACACCTCTGCTTTGGCTAACTTTATCTACAGATTTCTCTTTGTCAGCAGTCATGCTTTTGGAATAAGGTTTAGACTTAGCATATATCCTTTTGACCAGTTTATTTAACTGTCTTCCAAGCAAGGCTATTGCTTCAGACAGATTCTCCTTTTTTTCATCATCTGAGTCATCAGCGGTGTTTGAGACAAGAGCTATACTTTTGCTCTTTTTCTCCACAGCCTGACACACATTCCCATCTCAAAGGTTTGGAGAAAACCAATGAGTTCATTCACCTTCATGTGGCATATGTCTTGAACTTCTTCAATGGTTGTCACTTTCATAGCAAACCTTTTAGGCAATGACCTTAGAATCTTCCTTACAAGCTTCTCTTCAGTCATCTTTTCTCCCAGAGCTCCTGAGGTGTTAGATAGTTCAAGAACATTCATATAAAACTCATGAATGGTCTCATCTTCCTTCATTCTTAGACTTTCAAATTTTGTGGTCAGCATTTGAAGTCTAGACATTTTGACCTTGGAAGTTTCCTCATGAGTGGTTTTGAGAGTGCCCCAAACATCCTTTGCTAGTTCACAGTGGTGGACTACTCTGAAGATGTTTTTGTCTATACCATTGAAGATTGCATTCAATGCTTTAGAGTTTCCAAAAGCCAATGCCTCTTGCTCTTTATTCCATTCCTCTTCAGGAATTTGCACAAATGCTCCATCCTTGTCAGTCTTCATAGGATGTTCCCAGCCAGAGTTTGCAGCTCTCCAAGCCTTGTTGTCTAAGGATTTTAGGAATGCAATCATCCTAGGCTTCCAATAGTCATAATTAGAACCATCCAGAATTGGAGGTCTATTGGTGAATCCTATATCTTTATCCATAGTACCATAATTTTATTTCCCTAGATCTCACCCAGAGTAAACAGGCAGGGTGCCTGCTCTGATGCCAATTGATAATTCTGGCAGGCACACGATGGATGTTATTACCAAAGTTATAACATCCATTGTGACATTGACTACTGCACTTATTAATTAGACTGTAAATGAAAGCAGTAAATAACACAACAATTGTTCACCCAGTTCAGTGCCAACAACACTTACATCTGGGGGCTACCAAGCCAGGGAGGAAATTCACTATTAGCATAATCAATTCAAAGTCAAACCACCAGTTTGCACTTCTCACTTAATCTCTACCCAATGACACTTCAACCTAGAGACACTCTAGACCTGAGTATACCCATTCACTCCCCCTCAATCACACAACAATGATATCAAACAATTACAAAATTTAATATGAAGAGACACTTCATACAAACCTTGATCTTGCTTCACAACTTTGATCAAGAAACTCACACACTCTTGCTTCACAGCTTTGAGTGAGACACAACCTAGAATCTACCTAACCAAAGCAATCATCAACCAGACAATCACTTGGATTACAAGTATTCCTAAACAGACTTTACACGTGAAGACTAGCCTTCTTCACTTACAAGGACTCTCTAATTAGCACTCTCTAATCTTCTGTTAAGAGTTGCTTTTCTGGATTGCTCCTTCTGATATTTATAGCAGTTGTTAGTCCTTTGGGCCTTGGTGCATAGCTTAGGTTTTATCCATAATAAAACCTATCTTTAATAAACTGCACGCTTGCCTATTTAATCAGGTATATTTTAACTCGCCTGGGGCAGCTACAATGTCTCCTGAATTCCAGCTTGAGCTCCTATAAAGTTCCTTGCATTCTAGCCTGAGATTCCTCAACCTAAATACCAGAAAACTTAAACCTGTGATTGATGTCATACGACCTATGTCATAACATTGAGTATGACATCCAGCTTAACTTATAGTTAGCTGAGTTAACTTCCCCTGCTCGGTCCACATTATGAATGTACCAACATCAGTCATGACATTCATACATACACTAATGTTTTGCCACAAAATGCAGCCAATCAAGAGCACTTACAATGTCTCTCCCCAACATTCATTTTAATCTAACCACTAAAGGTCAACTCTCTGAGGTTCCCCAAATGTTTGGAATTTCTAGAGGCCATATTCTGTTGGAATTAATGTAGGTGTCTAAGTCCTTGCAAGAAGTAATTATGACCTCCACAATTCGCAAGAACAAAATGGATAACCTGATCAAGATAATGAACCCTAAGGGTTTTGAAGGCTCTACTTCTCAAGTTGGTGAATATGATGATGATGATGATGTTGAGGATAAAAAAGATACTGAAGGTGTTGTTGATAGTGAAGGTAGTGAAGATGGTTCTGATTCTGGCCCTTTTGAAGACCTTAAAGATTAATGTTCTTCAATTTAGTTGATCAATGTTCGGGTGGTTTCTTACCCCTACATGGTTTTTTTTCTTATGTTTGTTTAATATACCTCATGGAAGGATAATGGTTTCAATAACCCTTCTAGGTTGATTCCATTTTTTCTTTCTTTTGGCTTCTACTATGGATTTATGCCCCTCCTAGGTTATTTTTGGTTCTTCGAATGGCTAGTTCCAACCCCTTGCCCATTTTGAGGAAAATAAGGGAGAACAAACAAATTTGATTAAATTTCGAAATGCGAGACTTATTTTATGGTAATCTGTTATACTGGTATGCTAGTTCTGTAGTTCTTCTAAAGTGGTTTAGCATTATTTGTTTTTCGCTGCTCTATGATGTTTTTCTAGAACATGTCATGAAGATTATTCTCATCTTTCGGTTGTGGATGATTGACATATTTTTATAGACAACATGTAATGTAAGATGCTATGACATTATGTTGAGAAATTTGTTCTCTGTGCGCTTAAAATAGAAGGCAAAGATGTGGAACAAGATGTCCCACATGTTATGGAACATTCAACCTCAGAAGCCAGTTGCGCACTAAAAGAATCTTGCGCTTGATTTGTTTCCTTATTTAGTGGTTGTTTATGCACTTTTGGGATTAAGGAAGGAATCCTCTAAAGATCAATTATTAAGGTCAAATCTGATTGATGGAGATTTAATTTATGATATATTGCAAATCAAATTAAATCATATATTCAAGTTGCGCTTTTTTTGTTTCTTCAGTCGCATACTGTCTAAAACCCTAACGCCTAATGCAGTTGGATGTTTTGCTATTTAAGGAGTTTTCCATACATAAGACTCAAACCATGAGAGACATTGCAAGACATTTTATAGTTGTTGAGTTTTTGTGTTTTCGTGTGTTTAACTTCTAAAACTCTATTTATTTGAATTGTTCCTTTACAAAGAATATAGTTGTTTTTTAGTTGTAATAGTTTTATCATACAAACTATTTTGTAATCGTTCCAACACTATGGATAGTGGTTGAGAGAAAGTGGAAGGGTATCATATTTAAGAGAAGTCCTAAATAGAAATTCACCGATAGCATTAAGAAAAAAATACATTGAACTAGAAGAGTTCATCTAAGACTAATTTATACTTTTACTATTAAGAATGAATTTGCTTTCTTAGGTTAACACCCTCCAGACGTATGTGACATTGCATCGAACTAAATTATCAGTTCCTTATTTTGTATTTAGTTCATCTTTATTTTAATTTTTATAGATAATGCTAACATGTGTCAGGATACATGTTAAGAGTTAAATGTAAAAGTTTTTTTTTTTAAATTGTCCGTTGTTTTAATTAAATGTTGATTATTAATTTGTTTTTGTTGATTTTTCCAACACAAATTTTTTATTTTAAATTTCTTAGCATCTCTCCTAAGAACACATGTTAGCATTATCCATTTTTTATTAAAAAAATTTCAAAAGAAAAACCAAATTTTAAATTTCAAAAGATAATTCTTAATAACCTTAAATTTGAGAGGAAGACACCTCAACAAAAATATATATATCATTAACTAAGATATGGAAGAGATGTACATCATTATCATGAGCAAAAAGAACATCACTTTTGCTTCATCTTCTTTCAAAAAGAGAAAAAAGATAAAAGAAACTAGTATTTTTGAATTCATAAAAAATCACTTCAAACAAATTTAATGACTCTGATAAACTTCTTTATCAATGGGATAAAACCACAAAGTTTATTTTTAAAAGCTAAAAGCATTCTCAAAATATTTTTAATAGATTACTTTCACCAAAGTTACTTTGGTGATCTAATTAAGCACACATCTTTACTGCAATTTGATATCATATAACATAATTAGTCATAACATATTTTATAAAAAAACCTACAATCAAAATGCTTTGTAGACAAGTTTCTCTATACAATGCATTTATACAAAACAAACAATTAAGCAAAAACCAACAAGCATTTAAACAAGTTAAACTTCTTACTTATTTGAAAGAAAGAAAAAAAGTTACATATTTTCTCAAGTAAAAGACAAGCTTTGTTGGTTGATTGGATCATCATGTCAGTTAGATTCTTCTTCTCTTTTTCTTCCTCTTGTTTATCTTACACACACTATTGTCTTACCCTAACTTCCACGTGTCACTTTACCATGTCTCCAAAATTCACATTTTCATTTTATTTATAATATAATCATAATCATCATATGAAACCATATCAATCTATTTTTCATCATCTTCATCTTCATTACTATATATATCTATCTATCATTCATCAACCACCACATGAATGAACCTCTCAACACTCACACTTACACTCTCTTCTCTATCACTCACCGCCACTAGCTATGACACCGCCTCTTCCATTACCACCCTTTCTCCCTGAAGAACTCATTCTTGAAATCCTCACAAAACTTCCAATAAAATCTCTTTTACGTTTCAAGTGTGTATGCAAATCATGGTTACACATAATTTCCAACCCTTACTTCATAAAAAAACAGCTTTACTTCACAACCCATCATAGAATCATCTTGAGTGCTACAACAGCTGAATTCCACCTCAAATCTTGTTCCATTACCTCTCTTTTCAATAACCCATCAACGGTTTCTGAAGTCCTTAACTACCCTGTGAAAAACAAGTTTCGACATGATGGTATTGTTGGTTCTTGTAATGGGTTCCTCTGTTTTGCTATAAAAGGTGATTGTGTTCTTCTTTGGAACCCTTCTATTAGGGTTTCTAAAAAGTCACCACCTTTGGGAAATAACTGGAGACCCGGTTGTTACACTTCTTTTGGCCTTGGTTATGATCATGTCAATGAAGATTACAAGGTTGTTGCTGTTTTTTGTGATCCTAATGAGTTTTTCAGTGAATCTAAAGTTAAGATTTTTAGTATGAATACTAATTCTTGGAGGAAGATTCATGATTTCCCTCATGGTGTTTCACCTTATCAAAATTCATCTGGGAAATTTGTGAGTGGTACTCTCAATTGGGCTTCTAATTACTCACATGGTTCAAGTTCTCTGTGGATCATAGTTTCTTTGGATTTGGAGAAGGAAACTTATAGGGAAGTTCTTCCACCTGATTATGAAAAGGAAGAGTGTTCAACTCCTAGTTTGAGTGTTCTTAAGGGTTGTCTTTGCATGAACTATGATTACAAAAAGAGTGATTTTGTGGTTTGGTTAATGAAGGATTATGGTGTGAGAGAGTCTTGGATTAAATTGGTGACAGTTCCTTATTTGCCTAATCCTGAGGACTTTTCATATTCAGGGCCTTATTGTGTTTCAGAGAATGGTGAAGTGTTGTTGATGTTTGAGTTTGATTTGATTGTGTATAATCCAAGAGACCATTCGTTTAGGTATCCTAGGATTGAAGGTGGGAAGGGTTGGTTTGATGCAGAGGTTTATGTTGAAAGTTTGGTTTCACCAATGAAGGATTAAGGTTGATGTGGTTGTGCTAGCTATGGAACTGAAGTATAAGGAAGAATAAAATGATGTGAAGTATTTGAAATCTTACTGGTTTTTTGTTTCTGTTTATGTAGTACTATGTCATTATTGGATGTGTAATATGTATATAAAGAATTTGGAGGCAAAGCAATGTGTATAGGTGGTGTTAGTTTTGATGAAGCTTAGTTGTGTGCTTGTGTTGAATTATATTATGGACACAAAGTATTAGATGAAAACATAGAGCTTCATGTACTCGTTGATATGTGGGATGATTATGTTGTTGTGATTAATTGGTGTAAATCTAATATTTTTATGCAAATATAGATAGTACTAATTTGAAATCTTAGCTCAATGTTAAGAGATTAGTTTTGTAAATCGTGTTACTGAAAAATGAATGAGTTTGAATCTCATATTGTAAAATTCAATAAAATCACGTGTTTCTATAAGTGGTAGATTTGTTTTAAGAATATATCATGGAAGATGGGCAAGTATATGCTTTCTAGTATTATTGTAAGTAAGCATATTTTTAACATAATAATCTTCGATTCCATTGCATTTTGGAAAGGAAAAAAAAAGGACTATTCTCAAGTTGAAATGATAGGTAATTAACTGCATTTGAGAACCAGGGCATATTCTGTTGGTAAGGGTTAAAAGGAGGAAATTTCCATAACTCATTGCAACTAGATATTAAATCCTTTTGCATTCTCTATATAAGAGGACAATGCTGAAGCAAGAAAAGAATAAAGTAGAAAGCTGGAGAATCTGGTTCTCTAGCACAAAACTGGAAGAAGATTTGTGGCTTCTTCAGTATATATGAAAAACAGCAACGAACAGAATATATTAATTTTGAAGCATATATAATAATGTAAAAAGGGTACTTCATTTTTGTATCTTATTAGATGCTTGATTACATTAAATTAAAATTGACTTTATTAGATGCTTGATTACATTTAATTAAAATTGATTTGATTTTGCCTCGGTTTAAAACAACAGTTAGAATATGTTGAGCCCACAGACTAACAAAAGACATATTTAATGATTAAACAAATAACGAAAGATACATTTAAAGACCAGAAAGCCTGAAATTTATTTATTTATTTTGACTAAAATGACCAACGAATTTCACATTTGTAGATGTTTTAATTAGTTGATATGTTGAAATTATGTTTGCAACTTTGAGTTTTGAAAGATTTTTTAAAAGAAAGTTTTTAAAGAGTAAGTGCATACACACTCCGTCTCATATTATAAGCAAAGTATATTTAAGCAAATTATATTTTTTAAATTCATTGTAAAATTAATGTATCATATATTAATTATCCAATAAATCTAAAAATAAAATTTGTTTATAATATGAGACAGAGAAAGTATCTTAATATATTGAAAATAAAATAAAAATTGAAGGAATAATGTGACAGATTATATATATAAATATTTCGATCATCATTTTAATACTATTTAAAAGTAAAAAATAAACATTATCTTATCCTTTCTTCCAAAACTTAACTCTATTAAGCAAAACAGAATGAGTTGGAATTACACAATTGGCATGTAGCCCTAAGTAAACATTCTCATTTCCAACGAGACATTTTTTATGGCCAAATATCGAGACATTTTAAAAATACAAATTAAAAGCCAAAACCGTTCATCATAGAGTTATTAAATAAACACACGATCACAAGGTAAAAGTACTGCGTGTCTATTAAAATAACAGGTTAAAAAACCAAGTATATGTGTGGTACAAGCAATTCAGGTAAATTCACAAGAACTAGGATAATCCTATTGTATTCATTCCAATTGGAAAAAGACAGTTTTTTTCACAAACAACTAGGATAATCATGGTTTTGAAATTCATGTGAATATGTGGTTTGCTGATCAGCGGCTGAAACAGAGGGACCGCTTTATGTCTACATCAATCTAATTTTCAAAGACTGAAAATACTTATCCTCTCCATTTGGCACAATAAGGATATAACAGCTACTCTGGTTTCTTTTTCTTTCATAAAAACATATTTGCTTGTTACCAACATAAACATCACGTGTTGCTCGCTCATTGGAAAATAAACCATTCAAAGTTTTAAGAAGATAAACACAAAGTAACATAGTAGAATCAATTGACAGATGCAGTATATAATTAAGGTGAAACCTATTTCACTCCTAAGATGTTTAATTATGATGGCAAAGATGGAGTGGTCAATACCAGCAATCTGAACAAAATTCGACCTCCTACAACTTAAGTATACTGTAGCTGTTGTAAAGGATAACAATACATTACTTACCACAAAAGTGTAGAACTACTAAGATGGATAAAAGATGCTACCATAAATGAACAACTTAAACTAAAAAGTTGAGTGTGCAACTTTGTACAATCTAACAGAACTTGGAACAATTCACCTGTGCCAGCACAGCTTTCTCCCACCCTCGCGCAAAATCTCATAGGCAAGTTTATACTTTTCAATGGATGATGCGCCAGCATCTATGTATTTAGATGCCGTTTCTCTTAGACTCCATAGCATCAAACTTTTTAGCTCCTGGGAGCTACTCCATGATTCTATGTCGGGAAAAACACCGTCCTCGGCATTTCTGGTCCAGCGGTGTAGAATGTAGCGTGAAGGAACTTCTTTTAATTCCAATATTTGGAAAACCCTCAACACATGTCTACAAAGAACACCTTCATATTCAAACATCTGGCAGCTGCAATTAATGTCAAGATTGGATGCATTGAATGTAACTACATGCTTCTCCGTATCCTCATTTCCACACTTGCGCACCAAATATCTGCTAAGGGGCCCTTCTTCATAGATTTTAAACCCAAGATAACTATAGCACTGCAAAAGCTCTTTTTGAAATACTTTGAATATTGCTAGAGTGTAAAGCCTTCTACATTGTTCTTCTACAGGTTCTTTTGTTTGCAAAAAAGTTTGAAAATTAGAAGTGTTAAAATCCTCTTTTCTTTCTTCTTCACGACGTCGCTCAAGACCTCTTTCGTACCGTTGAATGAACTCTGGGAGAGGTGTTTGACCATTTAAAAGTGCACCAAAGAATGATTCCATGCTTTCTTTCAAAGGAATTCCAGCAGAAAATGTGCTCTTTATATAGAACGGAACCCAGGATGCACGTTTCTCGTACATTTCTTTTAGCCAAGAATTGTCCTTCAATCCATATTTTACGAGTAGAGCATTCCACGCGGTGTCAAATTCATCAACTGTCTGGCTCTGGTAAACACACTTTTCATAATCTTTTGTGAATCCATGACCCATCAGACCTGCAAGCTCTTGTTCCTTTGCATTAATTTGCCACAATGAAAAGCGGTGATGGGTTACTGGAAATACTTTTGCTACTGCTCTCTGGATTGAAACGTCTTGATCAGCTATTACTGACAGAGGCTGCCGACCACACATTGCTCTTAGCCATGTCTGTAACAGCCAAGTGAACGACTCTTCAGATTCATCAGCAATTAGAGCACATCCAAGAAGGACAGGTTGTTTGTGGTGATTAACCCCCACAAAAGTAGCAAATGGTACCATAGAGAGGCTCTTTCTATACGACGTGTCTACAACGAGGACATCGCCAAATTGACTACATGAATATCTAGATCTGCCATCAGCCCAGAATATGCTCATGCAATTACCATTATCAACTTCCATGGCATAAAAGAAACCTGTATCTTCAGCTTGTCTTGACTGAAAATACTCTAAAAGCATGTTATACCAATCACTTCTGATGTGGTTTTGTCTACCTCCTCTCAGGACAGGGTAGTTATCTATCCTAAACATGTCGCTGTTCACCATTTCAGTGTTTACCACCTCAGTTAAAATATTAGAAGCAGGAAGACTTGCTGTCCTAGTTTCCTTTTCAGGGACCAGGTCATGATTATGATCTTTTTCAAGACGGTCGACTACCCACTTTCCTGATGGCTGTCTCTTAATCCTTAAATAGGCCTTACAACCAACTCTTGAAGGGTGCTGGAACCCTTCTTTTGAACACACAAAGCGTCGTGATGTAATACCCCCGTCATTTTTAGAACGAAACAATTGACCATTTCGAATTCTAAAACCCTTATATGCTGCATGGGTGTGATAAAATTGGTAGGCTTCAACAGGGCTACTGAACTCTTGACCAACATGTGGTTCGATCCTGGCCTGTCCTTCAAGTTCTTCTTTTCTCAGACGCTTGAAATTAATAACACCAAAAGGAGAAATAGGTTCACCATTGCCTACTTCAAGCAATTTCTTCCTTGGCCTGCGAGTGATTCCGGTTGAAGAATCAACCGTGGCAGAAGCTATCGGCTGCAACGTTGGAGCGAAATTTTCACTTTCATTTTCAAGATTATGGTTATGCTCCTTGTGAAAATGGTCAACAACCCACTTCCCAGAATCATTTAACTGCACCCTTATGAATGCTGGACAGCCAGTTCTTGAGCTGAGCTGATGTCCCTCCTTCGAACACACAAATCTTCGAGAAGAAACCGATCCATTAGTCCTGGACCGATAAAGCTGACCAATACGAACTTTAAATCCCATTCGAGTAGCATATGATATATAATACCTAAGTGCATCATCCGCATTGAAAAACTCCAACCCTACGTATGGATCACAAGAAAAATCAATTTCCTCCTCCCCAATGACATTACTCATCACCAGTTCAGTACCAACAGCATGCTCCTTTACAATCATGATCCCAAATTCTACTACCCAACCGTTTTCAAAGCAAACAAAAGCACATTCCACACGCTAAGAAGATTACACTTATTTCTTCAACATCTGAAATATTCACAATGGAAAATTAAGGTGCTAAATTCAACACAACTATTAAATTAATGACTACTTTACGTAACAAAATTAATTATCACTATCTCTTTAACTCGATCATAAAAATATCATCATCTAAGGGAGAAATTAATTACCACGGAATGATTAGGTTTTCGAAGCAAAAAAAATGAAGCATTTGAAGAAATCGAAATAAAGTGACGGAGAAAGTCAACAATCGAAATAATTAGGGTTTTAGCAATAGAAAAATTACCTGGAATTGGAACATTGATGAATTGGATTGAAAATGGAATTGAGAGAGAGTTGAATTGGGGATTTATCTCAAGTAAAAGGGCTGTAAAGAAATGGTTTCTTCAGATTGAGTTTTGGTGTCAAGAATGGTGGTAATTAGACATATAGGTAGAACCCGTATTAGGATCCGGAAACCCTTTCCCTAATTTCGATAAACCCGACAAACAAAATATTGTTAATCATACGAGAGGGATGACATCTCCACGGTGGCACCGGGCACCCAGAGTTTCAACTAAAAGACAATAGTTACTTTTGATATAAAACTGTAAAATTAAATTCACTTTTTCGGATTTATTAAAACTTTGGTCATGTAAATTTGGATTGAAGTTCACAAATAAGTCATTCTTTTTGTTTTTCTTGTATTTCTATTGGATTTTTAAGGATTTTATAACAAATTGTAATTATCTCGAATGTACAGATATCAAAATGTTTGACTTTTTATATGATTGGTAATATTTGGGGCTTGTATGGAGCGACGGTGGACTTTTAACAAACTCGATAGAAATGTATAAGTTTTGTTTTGTTTGTGAATCATAATTATTGATGAAGATTTTTGATGTGGTGGTGCAAGTTGCTCTGGTGCGATTGTGCGAATATTGAATTTTTTTCGTATTGGGTCAGAGATTGGTCCAGAACAATTGCCCCTAAGGCTTGTTATGGCGTGGTGCATGGGAAGCCTTTGAAAGAGTTGAGTCGGGTATGTTTAATTGCGATCCACTGTTGAGAAGTGGAAAAGGTATGGAGACAGCTTCATTGAATGTCAATCTTATCACTGATGTGTTTTCAAGCTTTCACGCACGTGACAAGTTCATAGGTTAGGGTGTGACGCTTGTCTTTTCTTACAGAGTTGATTCACGCGTCTGAAAAGGAGAGATAATTCATCTTCTTCTTCTGATTCTTCTTCAGACTCTTCATCGGTATCAGCTTAAAGAGCTTTAGTTTTCTCATATATTCTTGAAGACTTCAGAGATCAATCTCATGGCTTTTCAAAGAACTAACCAACTCTTCAAGAGAGGTATTGTTGAGTTCCTTTTATAACTTCAGAGTAGTTACCATTGGTCTCCAAAGCTTAGATAGACTTTTGATGATCTTTTAGACATGATCAGCAGTACAATACCCTTTGTCCAGAACCTTAAGCCCTGTGACAAGAGTTTGAAACCTTGAGAACGTGTTCTTAACAATTTCTTCGTCCTCCGTCTTGAACGCTTCATATTTTTGAACTGAGGCAAGAACCTTGGTTTCTTTGACTTGTGTGTTCCCTTCACGTGTCATCCTCAAAGAATCAAATATATATTTAGAAGTACCTTTACTGGTGATCTTCTCATGCTCAGTATATGAAATGACATTTAGCATTATGGTTCTTCCTTTGTGATGATTCGTATAATCCTTTTTCTGTTGATCTGTCATCACTCTTCTTTCAATTTTGTTGCCACATGCATCTACTGGGTGCATGTAGCCATCGACTATCGTGTCTCATAGATCAACATTGTGACCTATAAAAAAGATTTATATTTTTTCCTTCCAATAATCAAATTTATCTCTATCAAAAATATGAGGTTTAACATTGTAGTGATCTCTATCATTTGTTTGAACAACTGGAGGTGGAACATCGACCATTGTGTTTCACACTGGATCTTTATCTGACACTATTAGGTATTTGATAATCTTATCAAGACCAAAACTGGGACTCTGATGCCAATTGATGGGGGTAAGAAACACAAGAAATAGGGGATTTGAATTGGGTTTCTAAAAAAAAGGTTTATTTAAAAAATAATTCAAAAAGGACTTAATCCTCTATAAAGACTTAATCCACTCCACCCTACCAATGTGAATTGGGTTCGCTGTTAACTAAGCTACCTCTAGTCCACCCTACCAAGGTGATTTTGTCTTCTCAATAAGGACTTAATCCATTATAACCAAACTGATTACAGGCACCACAAAGACAATCGTCTTTGTCTTCTCAAGTATACAGACTAACCCTAGTCACTCAAGGAAACCACTTAAACAAATTTGAAATTTACAGACTGCATTTACAATGATTGCTTCTAGTAAGCAGATTAACACAAAGTTTAAGCACAGTGAAATACTTACACAATACGGAAAAAAGTTCTATGTGTGTTTATACAGTATTCACAAGAATAATATTATCAGAGAAAATGCAGCAGCATGAATAGTGTTGAACAACTTGTAAATCGTCAACCTCATTCGTTCTTCCGAGTCTTCCTTATATAGCCAAAGAAAGATTCGTTGGAGGATAATATGGGAATCTTCATGAATGAGTCGGCGCCTTGAATAATCATCATCAATTGTGGGAGACATAATCGTATAACATAAATATTCTTACTCCATGAAATTCGTGTAGTATAAGGAATGTTTTGATTTTGTATTGAGTATTATTTATCTCACGTAAAACACTTTGATATGATCTTCCAATCTCCAGAGGCATCTGAATAAATGTTGTTTGACGCATTTATAGAAGAATCAAGGGCCTTGTTGAGAGTCTTTAGAGTCTTTACACTGTTCCTCAGAATCTGGTCTTTAGAATCTTCAGCACTTCGTTCCTCAGAATCTACCGCTTGAGCGCATAATCTTGAAGGTAAGCAATCCTTCAGAGGCTTCTTCAGTCAGAGTCATGATCTGAAGCTTTAGTACGAACGTTCTTCAGAAGCGTTGTCTAAGAGTTTTCTAGGACTTGACAACATCTTATAACACACTTGTTTCTCTTCAAAGTCAGAGAGTGTTAGTTCTAGAATCTTATGACGTCACATGTTAGAGCTTCAGAGGCAGAACTTGTTTAGCAAAAGCTACATACTAGACAAAAATCATTAGTGTACTAAATTATTCTCTAAGAAACAATGTATTGTTTTCATCAAAATAAAGGTCAGATGCAGAACTAAAACTTGTTCTCACTTGTTATACCTGCATCGCACACAATACATCAAGTATAAGTTTATCGCACACGTGATGTTGTAGGATGTTGTGTGTGACTATTCCAGTAGTTGCATGCTTTTACTCCCTTTTCACCTGATTTTTCACTAAGTCTAATTTCTTCAGACTTTGTTATTTTTTCTCATTCTTTAGTATTTCTTCTTCTTTTTGGCTTATCTTTCACTTGTTTTTCTCCGATTATTCGCCTAATTTTATGCGATGACAGACTTTCATTAGCTTCCCAAAACAATTGCACAAATAACAACAAAAACAATAAGAACAATGATAAAATACACAAGCATTTTATCATGGTTCACCGCTAACTAGGCTACCTTTAGTCTAACCAACAGGTGATTTTCCTTAGCCAAAGACTTAATATGTTCTACCGCGACACAAACAAACGCTTTAAGCCTCCAATCACGAGCACAAACAACGTTTAACCGCTAGAGTGCGATATAAATAATTGTTCAATAAAATCAACTAACCAATATATAGTTTTCTATGCAAAACTATGTTACTTTAAATTTTTCATTGTACCTGAGGATACATAGGAGCGAGACCCACAATCTCGTCATGCACCTTAATAAAAACCATTTTTACGACCATTTTACTTTCCTTTTTGATTTTTTATCGCTCAAATAAAACTAATAACAATAGCTAACATCCAATCGTAAATCTAACTAAATGATTCCCGTTGAGTACAACAGATGTGAAGAGTGCTAATACCTTTCCCTCACATAATAGGCTCTTGAACTCGAATTTGGTTGTGACGACCATTTTTTCTTACTTTTAAGGGTTTTATTGATATTTTCCATTTCTTTCTTTGGAATAAATAAAATTCGGTGGCGACTCTGTTCAATTATTTTGCGAGCACGGGATCGATCGTAGGTCGTATTTTTCGAGATGCGACACCACTGACCTTTGTTGGCTCACCTACGAATGTGATCCTGATCGCGACTTTCTATGTCTAATACAACTTAACTGCAAGTGCACAGTCTATCGCGTAGTAATAAAAGATATTGATCCCACAAGGACTCATAATCAAACTAGTGTTCTCGGGAGTTACTATGTTTAGCTAGGTAGATAATGTTTAAGGGAATAATTGCTATTACTAAAGGGAACTAAAAAACGTTACTTAAATTATAATTACGCGAATCGATATGCAATAATTATGTTCTTCGGGGATTTGACAAGTTACCGGTATATAAAATATTTTCAGAATTTATTTAAGAAGAAAATAGTGATCTAAAGACCTTCGTCTCACGCTGGTTATTGACGCTAGTCGCAACTTTAAGGCGGAACGTATGCTGTCGCTATCCCGTTCGGGGTTAAAATCGCTTTTTGGAAATCTCTAAGTTCTAATTTATTTTAAAGTGCTTTCGCTGTTATTAAAATAAATGCCTAGTATTTACTATCTGGTCCTAGCCGCAGTTGTCGCTTGTTGGTTCGTACCTTAATTAATTTCCCACTGTCGTGGCAAAACTACTTTTAAATAAGTTCTCGCTGTCGCGACGAACGTTTATTCAGGAAATAAGTTTAAACACTCAGGCCATAAACAACTTTTGAAAAAGAAAGGTTTTAACTGGTTATTATCAAATCCCGTCTGAATTATTATTACATACTGATTACTCTAGTTTAGCTAGACATGGATTTGGAATAAGTAAAGCGTAAATAAAAGCAGAAATTTA